AATATTTTTACATTTATTTATATTTATTTTTTAAGTATAAATGATTCATTTACATTTATTTCCCAAAGTAACACCCCTACTTCAGTTGATATAGTTTGAAAGAGCAAATCTCCGTACATATTTCTGAAAAGCTGTTTAATAAAAAGCTTTTGCTAAAGTAACTAAAATATTTAAATTAAAAAATTAAAGTTTTCAGAAAATATTCTTCATTTTAAAATTTAAATATCTCGGTTAGTATAAAACAGAAATTTGACATTTTTCTTTCTTTCACAATTTTATTCAAATTATCTCATATTTCCAATGTGACGTATCGTTGTCGATGACAACTTCTTCAGACAAATAAAATAAAATTAAGGAGTTATATATATCTATAGTTTAAACATAGAATGACAAAATCAAGACAAAATTAGTCTATTCAACTTTCTTTTGTTTTCTTTAGTCTAATTTGATAGTGATACGGAACGAGATAAAACCTATCCAGTTATTACTATCAAATTAGACTAAAGAAAATTGAATAGACTAATTTTGTCTTGATTTTGTCATTCTATGTTTAAACTATAGATATATATAACTCCTTAATTTTATTTTATTTATCTGAAGAAGTTGTCGTCGATAAAGATACGTCAAATTGGAAATTTTACATAATTTAAATAAATTTGTGGAAGATTATTAAACGAAAATGTCAAATTTAGCACAAACCTTTCTATAAAGACTAGATATAAAACATAACCTAAATATTTTTTTACCATTCGATAGCCCATTTAATTATCTACAACCGCTATAAGATTGGGATTTTTAAAGAATGCTTCCTGGGTTAAACTGAAGAAATTGTGAAGTATTGCAGCTCTTAACACTTATTGTACAACGGATATGCTTTGCTTCGAAAAGGGTTTACATCCAGTCACATAGATAGCCCTGACTTCAAGGAATCTATTGATGAATTATGAGTGTCAGTTATACTGAGTTTTGATCAAGTTATAGACAGAATAAATCTCGCAGGACATTTTTGATGTAAAATGCGCTTTTCTCAGGAAGGAAGAGTTTCTGAAAGCTCGTTTTTTTATCACATACTAATCGTCCAAGAACGAAAACAGGGTAAAATTTTGACCTCAAATGGATCACTCATCATCGAGTTATAGACAAAATAATTTTATAAATCTCGCAGGACATTTTGTGTGAAAATAACATTGCATAGCGTATTCAAACACGGTTTTCATTGAGATGTAAAGACTTAGAAAAAAACCTTTTTTAGCAAAATGTAGAGCTACTCTTGCCCTATTTTTCTGCCTATTTGAAAGCTTTTTTGAATTATTTGTGTCGTATGGAGACCGTCTTGAAATCTCGAAGGACAAAATTTTGAAAGGTGTCTGTAACAGCAGTTTATCCTCTAGCTTTTATAGAAAACTTAATTTTACTTGAAATCAAAGTACATAATTTGAAGCCCTGTTTTCGGGCTACGAATTCCATTGAAGTATAGTTCAGTAATCTCTAAATAGGATGGAGGAAAACCCCCTTTCTCGTTAGAGGCGGCGCCAAAATCACTCTGTTTTGGGCTTGTTTTCTTGTTTCGTTCACAACCGAATGAGATAGAAGCTTTTTTTCAGTACTGAATAACCATCTTTAAATAAACAAACCAAAAAGAAATTATTAAGTTTTGTTCTGGAGAACGACTCTTGTAAGCAAAACAATCGATGAACAGCAACGGTACAATGACAATGCCATTCACTCATATAATGTGTGCTGCTAACAGAGTTTCGCGTTCCACTCAGTCAATGTTTCTTGAAAATCTTTCTCACAATCAACTTTCTTTTCATTTTTTTCGAATGTGTTGCAATAAAATACTCAATTGCCGATATTCATTACGGTGCATTTTACAAAAGTTTGCTTCGAACAAAATTATCAAACTTTTTGATTGAAGAACGACGACGTGAAGACTATGCGAAAATGAGACGTGATTTACGAGCACAACGGCAATCAATTCAATCATCAACAGTAGATTAGCTCAAAGAAGAACTTTCAAAAAACATTTTTATTTTTGGTACGTGTAATAACATTTTTTTCTTAAGCCTAATGCTTTTTCTTGATTCTCAAATAGTGTCTTAACCATAGATTTTTGTTGTCCATTTCTATACTTTTTTTGCTCATTAACCTTGTGTTACAAATGATAATCACTTTTCTTCTCATCTCAAAATCGTTCTAATTCAGTTAATTTTTGTACATAATTTGATGTGACAGTAATTCTCCTAGGTAGTTATCTCTTTTTTTCTGAGTAATTCATTAAACAACATTCATTAAACTACCTTGGGTAGTTGATTTCTACTCTTTTTTCATCGTTATTTTTTTGTCCAAAGACTTTTTTACTGTTCTCGATATGTGGTGATGTGTATATGGAAGATTTTTGAAAGAATCGAAATAAAAGGTGAAGCACCGATAAACTGTGAAAATGAAGACGGTAAAGTGAAAAAAACAGGATTAAGAGCGGTCTAGTAAACCAGCGATAAAACGCACCAAAAACGACATTTTAAGTCAAATTACGACAGTAAACGTTGATTTACGTCATGGTTTACGTCATCGTAATTTGACGTATACGGTCGTAAACGATAGTTTCCTCCATTCAAAATACGTTGACGTATTACGTTGGCCGAGGTTACTTTGACGTAATGCGACGTATACGTCAAATTACGTCGACGTATACTGCAGTATCATTTGACATTTACGGCAATATCTCACAGTTTACGACGATCGTAATCTTCAGCCTGGGAGTTTTATTCCTCAAAATGTGATGCGTTCTCGATTTTAGGAACGGGGAACGCTTGAGCGTTCTCGCTCCCGAGAATGGGAACGTGAGGCGCGTTCTCATCTCAAAGAACGGGGAACGCATGGGAACGCTCCACGGATTGCATGAGTAAAAGTCTGTAAGCGCTTGGATATATTCAGCACATGCTAAAAAAATAACAAAACTTCAGTCCTGAATGCGCTCCGTTCCGTTCACAAGGAACGCTTGGGAACGGGGAACGATGACACCCCTAAATCTGTAACGTATTACGAAATTTTTTCTTTTCAAACAGAAAAAGTACATGCAGCAAGCCTCTAATTTTTAAAGTAGCTGATGCAGAAGAAAAAAAAAATTTTATTACCTTTTCTATGTGAGCAAAAATAGTTCATTCTCTGTGTGTTTTAATTACACTGGGAATAAACACAGTTGCATTTAATGGAATATTCTACATGTAAAATCTTCGAGAAAATGCTCTTCTACTCATATATAAAAAACGAACGATGAAAATAACTATTACATAAATCTCAGGTAAATAAAAAAATGTGGATGCTATTCGATGCATTTTGAAGTTGTGAGTGCAGGTAACTGCAAGGATTTCTTCTTCGTTTCTAACCACATCTCTCAAATGACTTGGTAATATAGCGATGGGATCATTATGCATGAAGAAAACTGAACTACCCATCGATATTTTCGTTCGATACAATCAAATTAAACTATTCATACTTTATTTTAGATCTCTTATAAAGTACTACATCGCGTAGCAACTGAATACAATCGTTACTATCTGCACTATTGGATATTTGCATATACAAGTAAGTTTTTTGATCACAATAACACGTCTAATATTTAGTTTCTGACGAGAGAATTGTATGTGTACCATTCATTTGAATGCCTATATTATATTATAGTGGCAGTTTCTCAAGATTCAGTGGAGTCCACCAGTAATACAGTGAACCGTGGCTACTGTCGCTTTGCCAATAAAGGTGTCTGTCCGTTCCAAGATAATGAATGTCAATATCGTCATGAAAAATGTGAAAATTACAATTTATGCTTAAAACCTAGTTGTCTTCTTGCACATGCCTCACCGAACCTCACTGAAATAGGAAAAAATACTCAAAGAAATTGTAAAAATGGTCTAGAATGTTACAATTTCAACTGTAAGTTCCAACATCCAGAAGGATGGAGCGCTTGCAGAAATGGAGCAGCTTGCACCATTTATGGATGCAACTCAGAGCATCCACCTCCTCCTCCTCCAAAAAAGCTATGCAGATTTGGAGATAATTGTAGAAATAAAAGTAACTATTGTCCATTTCTTCATCCAAACGAAAACAGAAACGAAGAAGTACAGAAAACAAACTATCCAAAGCCAAAACTTCGAGGAAACCCCGTGACCTTTAAAACTGTACAAGAAAACCCTTCGAACCCACCTGGAAAACAGCTATCGGAAACAATCGAATTTACTCCTGCCAAGTTAGATTATCTTGCGCGTTTTGGTAATGAAATTTTATCCGAAATCCGTAAACAAGCTGATATTAAAGGTGTAAAACTTAACGATGGTAAACTTCAATTGGATGGGACTAAGACTGCAATTACAGGCGCCAAATCTTATCTAGAGAAAACGCTTCATGAGGAAAATGTAACCATCGCTGCTAATTTATTGAAATACCTTCAGTTGTCTGCTAAAGAACGTTTAATAGAGAAATTTATAAAAAAACATCATGTAGGGGTACACTTTAGAAAGGTATCAACAAATGAAAAAATTACTACTGAAAACATGGTTACAAATAAGGACAATGACGATGATGATGATATCAGTCAGTCTGATAGCGATGATGATGATAGTGATAATAGAAGTGTTACTTCAAATGCATCCTCATGTACCACGACTGTTGTTCCGAAAGGTAAAGATAATCATAAAAATAAGCAAAACTTTGTGGAAGTAACATTATGCAGTATTTCCAACGATTCATTATCCAAAGCTATCAAAGAATTACAAGGTTATACTTTATCTAGTCAATCATGGCTATTGACACAAGATGAAATGGCATATATTTTAAAAGAACCACAAAAACGTAAAAATTTACCAAAAAAACCCACAAATCGTGATAATTGTAATCAGGTGAAATTTTACTTCCTTGATCTCATTCGATTCAATCCAAATGTTATTGTACAGATCTTTGTCAACTACCAACGTAATACCATGCGAGTACAAGTTAAAGGATTTAAAAATCATGTACGCAATTCTACAACAAAAATCAAAGCTCATTTAGCCGATAATATTGAAAGTGAAGTGCAACTTCCGATTTCGAAAGCAATGGAAATTTTTCTACGAAAGAAAGCTGCCTCGGATGTTAAAAAGCTAGAAAAAACTACGCGTATAAAAATAACACTTAAGTCATCACGTCGTGCTAAACGTGAAAATGACTAGGAAGATGAAAACAGTGAATCTTTGACACTGACTGGTTTAAGTTCACAAACGAATGTAGCACAAACAAGTGTGGAAAATTTTCTTGAACGTTTATTAGAACAAGAAAAACAGTTTCCTTGTCAAAGTTGGGATATTGCCAAGATTATTTCCAAAATCATTTGTACGCGTTTGAAAACTGCACTGGAATCCGATGATTATGATGCGATAGGATGGGTAAAAACCTATACATCGAGTGAACGAAGAGCAATAGAACCGAATATTGCCGTAGCAATAGTTAGTTTTAATCAAGAAGCAGTTGACGATATAGTCGAACAATTTCAAAATACTATAGATGGATATGTTGTTTGGAAACCTTCGGCAGACGAATTTCGAGCTATATTTCACACATTAATAGTGAAGAAGACACCATCGGCCGAAGAATTTCGACAACAATGGGAAACGAATGTACAATTTGATAGAGATACAAATACTGTTACAATCCCTGCATCATCAAAACAAGTTGCAGATGACATCAAGGATGCTTTACTAAACCTAGGAGCTGATCGAAAAATTCAGATGAAGCGTATTACTGAATTTATTCCTATTCCATTAAATGCACGTCGTTTTATTAATCAAGCCATTGGACCGATTCTCGAGGAAGCAAAATCACAAAAAGTTTTTGTTGAAACAAAAACACGTGAAGGGTTGAAGCTACATGGTCCGTCGGATGTTATCGCTGGATTCAAGCAAAAGATTAAGTTGGTTGTCGATGATATTACACAAAAGATTGTTAAGAGTTTGGTGCACTTAACATCAGCTGAAACAGATTTATTCCGAGCTGATGGTTATAAGGTCATCCGTAGTATTGAACGACAAACAAATACTATTATTCATGATGTTATGGCCACGACAAACAGTTCACGATTAGCCACCAATGAAAACCCGGATGCTAGTGTAACTCTTGCATGTGTGGAAAATAGTCGAAGACAAACGATTTTGGTGAAGAAAGAAGATATCACACAAGTGGAAAATATCGACGCGATCATCAATGCGGCAAATGGAACACTGCAGCATGCCGGTGGAGTAGATAAAACCATTGCTAATGCCGCTGGTCCTGCACTCGATCAAGAATGTAAACGATTAATTACTGAAAATAATGGGTTACCATTTGCTGCTGGTGAAGCAGTGAAAACAACTGCTGGTAATCTTCCTTTTAAATGTGTTATTCATGCCATTGGTCCACAATTTAGTAATGGTAATCAACAAGAACGGCCATTATTATTCAATAGTATCTTAGCCAGTTTACGATTAGCTGAAAGAGAACGTTGTAAAAGTGTTGCTTTACCGGCTATAAGTTCTCAAACTTTTGGTTTTCCATTATCAGATTGTACAAATCTCGTCGTTCGAGCAGTGAAACAATTCTATGCTGATTACCCGCAATCGGTATTGAAAAGAATTGTTCTGCTAGACACGAATGATGCAACCTGTAATTCATTTGCCCGTGAAGTTGTTGTCGATCATCGAAGTGCACTTACAGAAGATGATGATATTTTCAATTATCAACTAGCTCCTTTGACAGCTAAGTGGTGCTGGCAAGGTGATGACGGTGAAAAAATTTATGATGAAAACCATACACGTCAAATTGAGACCGCATTTCAACAATTTTTAAAAACATCTACAGCGCCAACATTGGTAATACCAGCTGATAATCTCCGAATTGGTAAGATTGTTAACTACAAAATTCATTTTCTTCCTGAATTAAAACAGTCAGTAACAAACATTGCAACCATATTAAATGGTCGGTTGGTTTGTGGATCTCAAATACGAGAAAGTACTGGTTTTAAACGAAATATCATCCGTTATCCAATAGTACTAAATATTAAGACAACAACATCCGCAACTGCTACTTATGTTCCCAAACCATTGGATTCGTATAATATACAAACAGTGACAAAGGATAATAGGTGGGAAATTACAGGTATTAATAATAGTGCATTAACTGAAGCAGAAAGAGCAATTAGAAAGGCAATTAATGATGCTACTATTACGGAACCATACTCTGTCAAATTAGATAAAGATATTACTGAACATAAACAACAAATAAATAATATAGCAACTCAACAACATATTCAGATTAGTTTTGAAGGTGAAAATGCTGGACACCTTTCAATGATAATGAAAGGTCTTAAATCTAATGTTCAAGATGCAAAATTGAAAATTACTCTCTATGCTCATGATATTTTACAAAAGAAAGTTGAGAACGAAAATGAATTGAGTATACCAAAAGAATGGGGTGATCAACAAGAGGGTTGCAAATTAGTTGAAACCAATAGAACTGATTCTGAATTTACTCGAATCGAAAAGTGTATGAAAGAAACAATGAACAATGTTAATATTCATAAAATTGAACGAGTACAAAATGTACGTATGTGGAGTCATTATGCATTTCGTCGTCAACAACTGAAAAAAGAATTATGTCTTAAACCAAATCTACAGATTGAAATGGAACTTTTTCATGGAACGCGAACAACACCACCCAATGAAGTTTATAATGGTGAATACGGTTTTGATATGACATTTAGCACCAGCGGTATGTGGGGCATAGGTTCGTATTTTGCCAAAAATGCCTCATATTCATGTCCAAGTTATTCACATAAACTACCAAATGGTCAATATCAGGCGTTTTTTGCTCAAGTATTAACTGGTGATATCTATGATTGCAAAAGTGACTCAACTTTACGTCGACCACCAAAGAAAAATGAATCAACATCGGGTTTACGATATAATAGTGTATCAGGTGATACAGGTGGTAGTAAAGTTTATATTATCTATGAAAATCGTGTGGCTTATCCTACTTATTTAATTACATTCACTCCATAAAATTATGAACAGTTTCATTCATTTTTTTGTTTTCTCTTTTATTCACACATTAGTACACAGATGCCGAAAAATTCCTATCAACTGATTACTAACAAAAGACAATAGATATAACTAACGTTGCGTTTTTCTATTTATCAAAGAGAATAAAATGCTGCGAAAAATCTTATATGGATAAATCCAGGAGTATCCAACCACTTTTTGAAAAAGTTTTTTTTTCAATTATTTTTTCACCAAAAGAATGAGCTCAGGTAGAAAACACTTTTGGCCGAAAAAAATCGACCTTCGCTGTTAAAATTCTGGCGTTCCAGGTCAATTTTGAGGTATGTGTCGAGATATATAAGGAAGACCAGACATCTCAGGCAAAGCGAGCATTAATTAGTGTCAAGTATCGTGTCATAGTCAACTTTTTATGCTGAATCTTATGGAAGGGTCTAAAAACCTTTTTGAAGAGACAAAAAGTTGTCGTTCATAACCAGAGTCTTGAATTCAAAGGCATATTTGTGAAAGAACAACGGATATATACCGTATTTCAACAGTCCAAT